TTTTTTTAAGGAGATCTCAATAAATACATTTCCTAAAAATGGAATAATTTAGAAAAACTTGTATGAATCTTAAGAAATCAAAATTAAGAATAAAGCCAAAAAAAGATATAATTAAAAAAAGATAAAGAATGAATTAAAATAAAAATATTGTAATGTTCTTTATGAATAATAATTATCACTTTTACTTGAGGTCTTCCAAAAAGCAACTTCCTAAGGATTTGAATAATGATCTTAGATCGTATCCCTCATGATTGATAAATTCTCCTTTCAAGATTAATGCTCCTTGCGCTTGGAATAGTGGTGTTTAAGATATTCTTAGAATTGTAATATTGTTGGATTCTAAAAGGTAATAAATAATGAAATACCTGGCAGAGGATTATTTGAAAATAGTGGTGCTTTGAATTTAGCAAGAATATCTTTAAATTTTTTATCAGCAGATTAAATTTCTTTTCCATTTTACACATCCCACAGACGGATAGACTTATCTTCACTAGATGAAGCTAATGTATTACCATCAGGAGAGAAATAGACTGATGAGACCCATTTACTATGACCATCTAATTTGGCTTTTTATTATCCTGTTTTGACATCCCATAGACGGATAGACTTATCATTACTACCAGAAGCTAATGTATTTCCATCAGGAGAGAAACAGACTGATACGACAGTACTAGTATGACCATCTAATTTGGCTTTTTATTATCCTGTTTTGACATCCCAAAGACGGATAGTACAATCACCACCTCCAAAAATACTACCACCTGCAGATGCTAAAGTTTTTCCATCAGGAGAGAAACAAATTGATGAAACAGGTCCATCATGACCATCTAACCTATTCAATTCATGGACTTTTATGTTCTTCCATTTACAATTGAACATCTAAGCACCATTCAAATTCAATCCGCTTATATCTACATTTTCAAACTCAGATCCACTCAAATTACACCTTAGAAAATTTCCTCCAATCAAAGAAGTATTCTTTATTTTGATATTCTCAAATGATTCATTCCTAATATCTACCTTCATGCCTACTAATAAGTTTAATGCATTCGATCCACATTGAATAAATATACCGTCAATACTTGTGAGAAGAACTAAAAACTTCATAAAAATTATGCTCCCTTTGTTATCCTTCAACCTCTTTATTAGATCTTATCTTGCATTTTCATAAGTCTCTAAAGAATAATCATCCCTACTAAATTTATGATCCTAAATATTCCTCAACACATTAGTTATTTTCTTTACTTACTTCTTGATCTCCTTTATATTCTCTTACTTGTTGTTTAAAGATTCATAAAACTGATTATTGTTTGTCTTTGACAGGAATCCAATAATGTCTGAAACTTTCTCTTTTCTAAGTATATCAAGAATCTTCTAATAGAGAGATTCATCTATATCCTGGATATAGGTTAGCATCTCATAAAGATCTTCCTTCATTTAATAAACTTCTTCTTCATCTCCCCTAGAGATAATATTTATAATACTTACTTAATTAATGATTGGATCTATTGGATTCCTTAGTTAGACTTCTCAATAAAAGCCTTTATATGTTGGTCCCACCAGCTCTTAGTCTTATCTAACTCCTTAATATAAGAATTCTTCGAAGCATTCCAATCATTTAAAATCGATCCTTCTACAATGTTGACTAATTTTTCTATATCAGTGTAAGAGGATCCAGCTAGATTAGTATTTTCGTTGATGAGGTTTAAGTATGATTAGTTATACATTTCAATCCAATCGTAAACTTATTTGATTGATTGTGACAACTCATCCCAAATTTTCTTCATCATTTATTCAGTTTGAGTGAGCAAGGCTTTAAAGGCCACTCTCTATTTGGTTAACTCAGATGTATCATTAAGCTTGGAGTCTTTTAATTTCTTTAGAGCCATTTCTTAAAATTTTTTCAGAGAAATTTTATGATTACCATCCACTTCATGATCATCATGACATTCAGCACAAAGTTTTCTTTAAAATTAACAAATGTGAGGAGCTTTACATATCATAGTGATCGGATTTTGAAAATGATAAGTGCAATTCATTATTAAAAATAATGAATTTTTATTACTCTAACTTGAAGTTATATACTGCAAAATCAATAAAAGTATCTTGTGCATTTCTGCAAATTAGAAGTTAGGACTTTGTGTATATTTGGAATTGATTGTAGTAGATATTAATTATGCTATTGAGAATTCATTTCAATACTTGCATTACTTGATTTTTTAATAATATAGAATATTTATTTTATATGACTTTTTAATTTATACAAAAATTGATTTCTTTGAATAATTCATTAATTTTTCTTGTTTATCTTTAATTTTTCAGTTAAATGTCTTTAGATTGGAATATGTCTTACTATTGTATTTGGATTGTTGGATTTATACTTGTAGTGTAGTGTTAGATTTTAAATATAGTTCCAAAATTGGTATAACCCATCAGATACAAGTTGTCAATTTCAGGGAAATTGTGCTGAAAATTATTCTGAACATTTGAAAAAAACCAAAGGGAGGTATTGAAAAAAAGTGAAGTTGTACTTTTGTAAAAATTGCATCCACATTTTTGTTGAAATGAAAAATGATATAAACTTAAGGTGTTAACCAATATGCTTAGAATTTAACCCTCTATAGATTGGTGTATGATATATTGATATTTATATTTACTCATTTTTTTATATAAGTAATATTTTTTAGGATATTTTTAAATAATTTCTAAAATCTAGTATGACCCTTCTAGAGGTTACTATGTCTTGTGGGAAAATTCTGAGTGATAAAAAATAATTGGAAAAAAAAAGTGAAGATGTACTTTTTGTAAAAATTGCATCCACATTTTTGTTAAAATGAAAAGTGATATAAACTTAAGGTGTTAACCAATATGCTTAGAATTGTACTCTCTATTGATTGGTGTATGAAATGTCCATATCTATAATGACTCATTTTTTTGTATAATTAATATTTTTTATGGATAATTTATTATTATGTCTAAATTCTAGTATGACCCTCTAAGGGTTTGGGTTTGGGTTTGGGTTTGGGGTTGGGTTTGGGTTTGGGTTTGGGTTTGGGTTTGGGTTTGGG